CTTATGCTTTTCTTTGCCTTTTTGAACTGTGCAATAGAAATGAACCTCCCTGCCTTTTTCATCATCATCACATTAGATATAACGATATGTAGGGTGGTAAGTCCCAGGGACTTCAGAACTGCCGAAAGAATTTATTGCTTTTCTTGAGTTTGTCATCCCCAGAGTAATCAGTGGGCAGTTGTTAGCAGCCCAGGTTCTAAAGGCTGAGGAGAAAAAGCTGATTTTTATTGAAGCTGAATATAACTGATCGATATCGTGGGCTATATGTGAATGGTTCCTTTTTCTTGTCGGGGTGATGGTAGGGAACGGTGGCCATGGAGCTGTGATGTGCGCACGCAGCGTTGATGTGATTTAAAGTGCAATGTTGATTAAAAGTATTTCCTCGTTGGTGGGTAAATCTCTTCACTCTGATCAATAAGTGGCTCCTCTCCAGTGTGTGACTCTGTGTCAGGTACCTCACTTTCTCTCTCTTCAGAGTTCAATCATTCTTCTCTCCTTCCCTTTCTCCCCTCCTCTAAATATTCTCTTTTAATGTTTCTCTTCACAAGTCTGTGATTTTTTTTTTTTTTTTTTTTTCATGAAATGATCACACCCACACACAGGCAATAAAGTTCTTTGTTTGCATGGGAGAATGGATTTCGATCATGTTTGAAGAAGACTGAGGAATTTTGAGTAAAAATTTCACTTTCTTTTTTTTTTTTTTTTTTTTTTAGATGCCTCTCCCCCTTCTCCCCCTCATCTTCTCTCGCTTTCAGGTCTAATGTATTTTTGGCGAGGCGGGTTATTAGCGTGAGAGCAGTGAGGCTTGCGTCTGTTTAATCAGGCTTGTTGAGCATGCAGGTTTGATGTGTGTTGTCTCTGTGTTTAATCAGCGAGCTGCTCTCTACAGGTTTGATGTGGACGGAGAGTTAATAAAGCAGTATTTTGGGTGCCTTCATCAGCTGCAGCACTTTGTTCTGCATCTCCTTGTGCCTCCGAGACAGACAGCTGTGTGCTGTGTGCTGGAGCTCCACTCCTGCTATGAGACCAAGCATTTGTCTTGGTCTCATGGTGGTGGGGGCTTGACATGGGCTCATTTCATTCCACCACCAGCTCGCCCGAACTCTAAAGCTGTCTTGGCAGGAAGTGCCTTTATGATGTCTGTCATTTCGTTTTGTGAAAACCAGTGAATCCTCACAAATACAAAGAAAGAACCAGAGAATATTTGGCATTTTTACAAAAAGAAAAAGACAAACAATTAATAAAGCAGTTGCTTAAATGTATTAATAAACTATTTGTTTCTGCTTTAGTTGATTGACAAAATTCATTAGTTTCTGTTGTCATGTCATAGTTTAAAGCAATGCATCAAGGCACATGTTGTAAACATGGGCACATTGAGAGGTTTGTAATAACTGGACAAATAAATGTTAATATGACACCCACTCCTGGTGGCTCATAGACGGAGAACATTTGGTGTTTATCTCTGTAAGTCAGAGTCAAAGTAATCGAACTGAAGATGTCTCAGGTCTTTAGAGACCGTCCTCGATTGTCAAACTTTAAATACTACAGTGATTAATCAAAAAAGCACTTTATAGAGTAATCAATGAGGAAAACATTTATTTGTTGTAGGTTTAATCACGAGTATCTTTTCTTTAGCTTTTCACTCACTCTTCAGTGTGATTTTTAAAACCAGTTGACTGTTGGATCAGATTTACACGTATACGGCGTCGCTGTCTCAGATGAGGTTCACCAGGCTTGATGAGCTCAGTTCTTTGTTATAAATCCATTTTAGTCCAGTTCATCTTGAGCACAGCTCCACTGTTTACTCCTCTACCACATCTTTATCCAGTCAGAACTCATTTTAGCCTGATTGAATCATTTAAGGTGGATGTCACAGTATGTGCATGTTGTCTGCACATTAATCAAAAACGTGACTGTTCCCGTGTCTGGTTTGAAGTTTTTCCCTGAATTTCATTTTTCAGCAATTCACTAAAAGTTTTATTTGCCCAAAAACATTTTGGAAAAATGAAGAAATGTCAGCTTCCATGAATAGTTTGGATCCTTCTTTAGTTCACAACCTAGAAAGTTCAGCGGTGCTGTCGGATAAAGCTTGACTTAATTGATGTCCCTCCTACAGAGAGACACATGTGAGCCATGTTTCTTTATTATTTCTCCATCTCTTGCATGAGTTCAGTCCAATTTTCTAGTGATATCACACTGTAACAATTAAGAAGGCTTTAACTTTTAAACTGGCAAATGAAGTAGAATGTGCCGCACTTATCACATGGGCCCGGCTATCCTTTCTGCCAACTATCCGAGATAGGGCGAGAAGGGGAAAGAGAATATTTCTCCTTGGATAAAAAAAGCGGAGAATGTGGAGCTGAAACTTTTCCGCACCATTTGATGTCTGAAAGCAGTGATGCAGCGATTGTTTAATTAATCCAGAGCTGTAATGAGGAAAGAAATCATAATTCAAATTCACATTTTAAACAGGAAATATAATTGGAATTTTATACAGAGAAGTCCCTTTGTACAATTATGATTAAAGGAAAATTAATTGTATGAAAATGTCCTTACAGATACTGAAAATTAGATCTAGCAAAGCTCAGGCAACATAGACCTAATTCTAAAAATATTGTCTACAGGATCGATCTTTTTTCTTTCTCCTCTACTCTTTTTTTTTAATGAAGGTCCAAATCTAGCTGTGTTAATTTTATCTGAAATTAGAGTGAACCATGCAGGCGTGGAAGTTGAAATTAGCCTAAAGATGTTTCATTTACAAAGACAGAAACACTTTGTCAGCCAGCGATTGTTTCCCAGCATTATCTCTGCCTGCTTTTAATTGCTTTGGAAGTGAAATTAACAGAATTAGAAAAATTGCCTCTTCCTTTTTCTACAAGCTTCTTTATTCATGGGTATTGTTGTGTGCTTTGTATAGATTATAGACTCCTTTTGTTCCAGTATTGTAAATATATACGCCCCAAGTCACAGCTTTAGCTGTGAAACAATCCCCCGGTTCGTTCGACACAACCGAATGGAAATTAATTTACAACCTGTCTGGAGTGAGAGGACAAAGGCGAGAAAGAAAAACCCCTGCTTCTGTCTTCTTATTAATTTCACTGGTGTACTTATTCAAAAACAGCGTACCCACCCTCCTTGACTTTCCAGTACATCATTATTAAGTACGTGAGTTGTTTTCTCCCTCGGCAGTCTGTAGCACGTTAACCATTTCTGCTTCGCTGAAGCACCGGCTAATCCTCTTAAAAGAAATGGTCACTGTGAATTAATAAATCTATGGTGTTATCCTCTCAGGAACTGAGAATTAAGTCTGTCATCTAAAGCAGATCTACCTTTATAACTACCTTTTGTAACCAGCAAGCTTTGAAACACTAATAACTTAAACTCTAGATGCACTAAAACAACCAAGAGGCATGATGTTATCTTTACACGTAGACCTCTGACTGTCCCACTGAAGCAGCCCGGTGTACTGCACTCATCTTATAGATGGACTGTTATTAATGAAGCACTTTTTAAAAAGTCACATTAAATCCATATTAACTGACTCAATTTTTTGGATGTAATCTTCAAACAGACTAAAATAGATCAAAAGTATGTATAATTACTGTGGTCAGCAGGGATTATGAAACTGTAACTGATACAGATCAGCCCAGCACTAATCACTCTTTTAGCTGCAATTTGAGGTATATTGTAATGTGGCTCTAAGGTCCCCCTTGGCTCCTTGCTATTAATCTTCTGGATTAGATTGTTCAACGTGTCCAATTCTTGAAACCATTTTTTGAATGAGTCCAGTAAAAAAAAAAAAAATAAATAAAATAAATCCATGTGTTTAGGGTATTTTTCCTCCCTTATACTATTTTATTGCACTTGTGTTGCGTAGCTTTTAATTGTTCACCTCTCCTGCACCAGTTTGTTTAGACTAGACGCCCAAGGGCGGAGGAGATTAAACTTGTTTAATATTATCTTGTGGAAAGCGCTTTCACATTATTCGGCCATTCACCCATTTGCACTCTCAAGCACTCACACACCGGTGAAAACACCGGGAGCAACTGGGGGTTCGGTGTCTTGCTCAACGACACTTCGACATGTTGACTGGACAAGCCGGGAATCGAACCGCTAATCCTCCGGTTAGGAAAGACCCGCTCTACCTCCTGAGCCACAGCCCCTCCCACCCCTAATAAGAAAGAGTTGGAATGAAAACTCTTACCTTTGGCTTTTGTTTGCTCAAAATGCAGTGGTTCTCTCTGGAATGTTCTGATGTGTGTCCCAGTTGCATTGAAGTGGTGGGTTTTGCACACATTTGCCCCACATAAATACCAAAAGAAATCATCTCCACACAGCCCCACCTTCTTTTTCATGAAGTTTCAATTGTCTTGATAATAGTTGCCTACAATCATACCGCTTGTTTAGATAGACAACCATCACCATGCATTTATAGAGGCTATTAGCATTTGATGAGTGGCCCATTAGACCCCCATCAGTTGTCTCGATGCAGCTCCTTTGCACATGGTAGTCTCCAGTTAAAATTCCATAAGTTCACATTAAACTGGCATTTAGTCTCAACCATCTTTTGATCTGTATCCCAGAAGCAAGAACTAAAGTGTTCAGCCACTCTACCCCAACAAATAGCACTTACTACCTTTAGACACAAAATCAGTGCTTGTGTTAGAGTAATGTTGGGGACAAATTGTTGAATTTAGTTACAAATGGGAAACGTGTCATCTTGGAGACTGTGCATTTGGTGAAGAACTCACTCAGAAGACACTTTAGGTGCATGTGATGGTGAGAGCATTTCATCTAATTAGTGTTTAAATATAAAAGCAATTTGGCCTTAATCTGCTTTTGACTAAAAGGTTTTATTGAAGTAACTTCTTGGACTGTCTTTATCCATCTAGATGGCGTTTTGTTTCTGTAGATTCTCTTCGGATGTTACAGGTGTCACAGTCCCAGCATGGAGCAGAACACAGTGATTCAAGTGTTGACCTCTTCTCTTCTACCCACAGGTTCCCTCGGGGATCTTGATGGCATAGAGGACAATACACCAGACAACCTCAGCCTATCGGGAGAGGAGGGCGGCGTCTCAGACCCAGATGATTCAGCAGAGGGCGACAGCACCAGCCCCCTGCCGTACACACCACTTTACAATGAAGGTGAGAAGAGGAAGAAAGCCGGATGTACAGTGAGAGTCAAAAACCCAACTTTCCCACTAAATTCCATGGGAAAGTGTGACTGGTAGTGAACAACAGAAGCTGTTAGCACAGGAAGCAATTAAAGTTGGAGGCCTCAAGCTAGTTCCTGAATATGAGCGGTGTTTGTAAAAAGTATTGTTAAAGATTCTGTTGTAGTCATGAAGACTCCTCTCCCCATGTTCCTGTGTAACAAACCAAAACCCAAACATAGCAGGTTTACTGCCGTGTTGGACAAGTTGGGCCCAGTGCATGTTTTGGCATTTTGTGCACATTAAAAAATCTTAGGCGGGAATTGTTTTCTTTCAGTCGGTCAATGCCAGTCCTAGTCTGCTGAGGTCTAGATGGTGGCCTAGTCAGGACGTGACATTCACTTGTTGTATCTGTTATACAAAGTTCAGTTTGCAACTGAGCTCCAGTCGACACTACTGAACGCCACTCAGCTTCACACACACCCGTTCTGCTAAATTACATCTGTTCCACCACTTTCTGCATTTTACTGTGAACTTACATTGAACAGTTCACAGACTGTTACTGTAGGGTTTTCACAGGAACTACTTCATACCAACAAGGTGTTATTATTATTAGCATTGTACTGTTTCCCACTAACTATAACAGTGGCCGTGCACTGACAACATGCACTGACTTGCTTATTGTACCTCTTCAGATAAAATGATCCAGATGTCTAGTTTACGGTTATTAGTGGTTATTACCAGACCTATCTCCTCATCAAGCCTTTCTTTCATCAACTGACATCAACTGTAATCTATCCGCAGACAGTTAATGTCACTCAGTGACAAAAAGACTGTAGAAGCACTATGAGGTTGCAACTTTCCCTGTGTATCTCTTTTTTATCTCTATTGTGTCTAAACAAAAACAGACAAAAAAAAAACCAAACCCAGAATTGAATGAATCTGCCCCTGTGGCCCTCTTATCCCGAGCCCCCCCACACCATGTGATAGCAGGCATAAAATTTTCAGTCATATTCTTTTGACTTATTCAAGATTTCACTGGCTGTGTTGTTTTTAATCTCAAAAATTCCTGCTCTTGTGAAATTTTGGGGCTGGAAGTGATAAGCGTCTGTTGGTTGGCTTGGTTTGATAAACCCATGGAAATTCTGTCAGGTGCTAATCGAGACAAGATTTGAGATTAGCTAGAGGTGTGTGTTTGAGGTGAGGGGTGGGTTATGTGTGTATTAGGTTGGATAAGAAGCAGAAGATGAGAGAACTCAGGCAGACTACACATGAGGGCAAGTTTGTCTGTTGACAGCAAACCGAGTTGGCGTCTTTGTTCCTCAGTTGCCCAGTGCTGCCATTATCAGTTCTCTGTAAATCAGCCATGTTTGACGAACCGGCTCTTTCAACCCGGGATCAATACCAGGTCTTTATCTGGCCAACGCTGGCTAATAAAGGCAAGGCCTCTTATCCACCATCTGGAAGAGAGAGAGGGAGAAAGAGAGTGACACACACACACACACACACACACACACACACACACACACACACAGGCAATAACCCCCCTGTTAACTTTAGCAAGAAAAACACATAATGCTAGTAACAAGACCAGGCTCTGTGTTCTGGCCATAACGCCTGCTCCTCAGCCTGACACAGAGCACCGGTACATTCGTATATTAATGAGGATACAGTGGGTCGACACCCACGTTCTCACACACACAGCTTTATTGAGGAAGACTTGAGCATCTGTTGTGCACATCTCTCTATGTTGTGGTGTTTTTTTGTCTTCGTTCTTTTTTTTACTCTCTTCTCAGAATTGCTCTACAGTTGCAGCTGCCCGCCAAAACAAGTGCAGTTCCTTCTTTCATAACAAGGCAGTCCCACATCACAGGAAACCTGATAAAATGCACTTCTGAGCTGATTACTCAGTATGTTACCTCTTTTTGACCTCTAATTGTCGTACTCTTGTTTAGCCCAATCAGAAATTTTGTAACCCTTTTTTATTGGAATCTGATCAGTGGTGATAGAAAAAAGTGTGTGTGTTACGTGGACAACTAACCGAGGGCACAGTCTTTTCTGGCTGCAGCTTGGACAGTTATGGACTGTATGTATGCAGTGTGGGTGAAAAGATTCAGCTGTGTAAACAACAGGAAAATTGTTTAAAACATAAGGGAAACAAATGAAGGGGTAAAGGTGGTCTTCTAAAAAATAATAAAAAGCCTTTATTTCAGTAGCTGTCTCATAATGAGGATTAAAAACAATACATGTTCAAAATGTGAGTTACAGCCCACACGTCGCGCCAACAAGCTGCCTTACATCTACTCAAGGGAAAACAGTGCGCTGCAGGTTTCACCCTGAGGAAGGCAGCTGTTGAATAGACATAACATTTCTGACTTAATCTATCAGTTTCTGTTCTCTCACAAGCTGATGGAGTTTGAAATGTATTTTGCTGTTGAAGAGTGAGGGACACATATCATTGCTCCTCAGAATCCGATGACACACCTCTAGCTACTGCACAAATGGCAATTTAAAAAAAGATGAAACAAAAGAAGTTACTGAAGGTTTTAGAAGACTGTTGTGACTCATATTTGGAGGACTGCTGCTATCGCTTTGCAAATTTGTATACGTTTCCCGTATCATGATACATATCAGCAATGGAAATGTATTCTTACTGTTCTGTGGTATTCATTCCAACCATAATTTCCACTCCATTAGCAGCACTACTAATCGGCGTAGGCTAATGGGTGAATATGCTAACACCCTGTCTACACCTGTTTGCAGTGGTCTGTCTCATACATGCCTGACAGAACAAACACTTTAGCAATATACATCAATAACTTGTGCTTTACTTCTGCTTTTAGTGTGACTCAGTGTATTTTACGCACCCATTTGTTTCTCTTCTGACTTGTGTGTCTCTGTATTGATTGTGTACTGGTCTGTAAGGGTTGTGGGTGTGCAGCAGCACTCTGGATGAATGCTTCCAGTGCAGACACTCACAGACAGCTGCAGCTGGTGTACCTTGGCTTTGTCCAGTTCTGTTTTAGCTTCATCTGTGCCATCAAACTGACCAACAAGCAGCCTGTGTTGGCATGTACAGTATGCTGAACCTTAGATGTGTAAGAAAAAGATGCAGAAGACACAAGGCAGCTTTAAAATCAGACAGCAGAGCGACAGCAAATGTTTGGAGGTGAGATTGTTGGGTGACTTTGCCCTGCAGGTGTGACAGGCGAAGTTCATCTTATCAGATTGATGGAGACTGTCTCGCTATGGGGGGAGGAAAAGGAGGGAGAGAGGGAGAGGAAGAGGAGGGGGTTTGGCAGAAAAGTGCCTGTCGACTCCTCCTGATACCTGCCTCCCTGTCTGAGATGATATGGGAGATAATATTGATAATATTAAACGCAATAACTGTGTCTCCAGCTCCCTTCCCTCGCTTCAGCCCCTGCAGGATAAAATCAATGTGCCATTCATTGTGATTTATAGCTGAAAATAATGGCACTGTTTAGGCAGGGGGGAGGTGTGTTCGTGTGTGTACGTGGCTCTGCTTGCTTTTAGAGTATGTACAGTATGTTGTCATATGTGAGTGTGTGTGGATGTGAGGTTGAAAGGTGGATGCGATGTGAAGATGGATGGAGTCTGTATGTGTGCATTTGCTTCTGTGTGTGTTGATTTATTTGACAGTGCTGATCCAATCTCTCAACTGTTACATTAATAACAACAGAGCGTAAGGGCGTCACGTGGTCCTGGGGCGTTTATGGCTGGTATCGATCAGGTGCTATCGCTGTTTATCGGAGCGGGAATGCCAGGGTAAACACAGTCTTTGTGCAGACAGCTGAGGTTTTATCGGGGTAGAAGCTGAAGACGGGGCGGGATTTGGGGAAGGCGAGAGAGGACAGAGCAAGGAAGGAGGAAGTAAAAAGAATGGCAAAAGTTAGGGGGAGGAGAACAGGGATTCAGACAAAGGGTAGAAGAGAAGAAGAGAGAGGGCCAATAAGCTACTTGTCTTATTTCACATAACCCGGAAATGTCTTTAACTATAGGTTCTCATAGCAGATATACAGAATATTAATATTGTTAACTGTTATCATAAAAGGTTTTCTTTACACATCGACACTTTTAATGTTTTAATCACATAATTTTGTAAGTAAACGATGCTCTAAAGTTTCAAGTCATAACTTACTAAAGTCAGTTTTGACTGACATATGTTTTCATGTAATAAACCGTCCAATCAGAAACTGCAGTGTCAAACCTCTGCTATAGCCAAAGAAAATCTTGGCACACTGAAATATTAAAGCCATTGTGGAATTTAAAGGAGGCCTACATTGCACTACCTGCAGTAATTTTTACAGTGCCTTGCGAAAGTATTCGGCCCCCTTGAACTTTGCGACCTTTTGCCACATTTCAGGCTTCAAACATAAAGATATAAAACTGTAATTTTTTGTGAAGAATCAACAACAAGTGGGACACAATGATGAAGTGGAATGAAATTTATTGGATATTTCAAACTTTTTTAACAAATAAAAAACTGAATAATTGGGCGTGCAAAATTATTCAGCCCCTTTACTTTCAGTGCAGCAAACTCTCTCCAGAAGTTCAGTGAGGATCTCTGAATGATCCAATGTTGACCTAAATGACTAATGATGATAAATAGAATCCACCTGTGTGTAATCAAGTCTCCGTATAAATGCACCTGCACTGTGATAGTCTCAGAGGTCTGTTTAAAGCGCAGAGAGCATCATGAAGAACAAGGAACACACCAGGCAGGTCCGAGATACTGTTGTGGAGAAGTTTAAAGCCGGATTTGGATACAAAAAGATTTCCCAAGCTTTAAACATCCCAAGGAGCACTGTGCAAGCGATAATATTGAAATGGAAGGAGTATCAGACCACTGCAAATCTACCAAGACCTGGCCGTCCCTCTAAACTTTCAGCTCATACAAGGAGAAGACTGATCAGAGATGCAGCCAAGAGGCCCATGATCACTCTGGATGAACTGCAGAGATCTACAGCTGAGGTGGGAGACTCTGTCCATAGGACAACAATCAGTCGTATACTGCACAAATCTGGCCTTTATGGAAGAGTGGCAAGAAGAAAGCCATTTCTTAAAGATATCCATAAAAGGTGTCGTTTAAAGTTTGCCACAAGCCACCTGGGAGACACACCAAACATGTGGAAGAAGGTGCTCTGGTCAGATGAAACCCAAATCGAACTTTTTGGCAACAATGCAAAACGTTATGTTTGGCGTAAAAGCAACACAGCTCATCACCCTGAACACACCATCCCCATTGTCAAACATGGTGGTGGCAGCATCATGGTTTGGGCCTGCTTTTCTTCAGCAGGGACAGGGAAGGTGGTTAAAATTGATGGGAAGATGGATGGAGCCAAATACAGGACCATTCTGGATGGAAACCTGATGGAGTCTGCAAAAGACCTGAGACTGGGATGGAGATTTGTCTTCCAACAAGACAATGATTCAAAACATAAAGCAAAATCTACAATGGAATGGTTCAAAACTAAACATATCCAGGTGTTAGAATGGCCAAGTCAAAGTCCAGACCTGAATCCAATCGAGAATCTTTGGAAAGAACTGAAAACTGCTGTTCACAAATGCTCTCCATCCAACCTCACTGAGCTCGAGCTGTTTTGCAAGGAGGAATGGGCAAAAATTTCAGTCTCTCGATGTGCAAAACTGATAGAGACATACCCCAAGCGACTTACAGCTGTAATCGCAGCAAAAGGTGGCGCTACACAGTATTAACTTAAGGGGGCTGAATAATTTTGCGCGCCCAATTTTTCAGTTTTTTATTTGTTAAAAAAGTTTGAAATATCCAATAAATTTCATTCCACTTCATGATTGTGTCCCACTTGTTGTGGATTCTTCACAAAAAATTACAGTTTTATATCTTTATGTTTGAAGCCTGAAATGTGGCAAAAGGTCGCAAAGTTCAAGGGGGCCGAATACTTTCGCAAGGCACTGTATGCTCATTTTCAGGTTCATATTGTTATTTAAAGGGTCTACTGGAAAACATTTACACTCCTGTATGTTCATAAAGGTCATTAGCTCCCTCAGATCGCTGGTAGCACCAGACTCTTTTCTCCCCTCTCTGTGAACACATTCTGTTTTAGCTCCTGGCCCACCTTTCTAAGAGCCCAGTTTGTTCTGATTGGTCAGCTCCCACAGCACTGAACAGGACACACCTACCAACTCCAAGCTGTGTTTCTGGATTCCGGACAGCTCTGGGCTTCAGTGTTGTTAACATTGTTAACCACCGTTGACTGCGTTTCTACCACAAATGTCACTGTAATAACCACTTGTAAGCCAAAAACTAAACAACCACAGATGTTTGAGCAGGAGCCTGCTATGTCACACCTGGGCAGTGTTGTCTAATAGAGTTTAGTGCTGTCACAGCAATGCTAGATAAACAGGCAAGGCTACCACCATCCAGCCCACTATTCACAGGGAATTTGGCTAAAAAACATTTCACACAAATTCTCTGGTACATTCTGACTGTTTATTCAAATTACTAGCCCGAACACTTAAAGGTAGGGTAGGCGATTTGTTACCAAAGCATTTTTTGTTACATTTCTTGAAACGGCAATAAATAATTTAAATGCAGACATGAAGAAACAAATCCACCCTCTCTGGCAGCAGCAGGGCTGAAAAATGCCCGACCAGTAATTTTACTCATCCCAAGCAAAGCCGCTGAATGGCCTGTCTGCCTACTTCCTACTTGCAAACACTCTGCCCTTGCACTCAATGCTTGAGCAAGGGGTTTCCCACAAGGTGCTGCAGTTGCAGGCAGTTGTGTTACCACTCTGTTTCACAGCTAAAGCTAGCAAGCTACGGCAGAGAAGGTACCCACAGCAACTTTCATTCACAAGTGGAGACCATTTTTATAGGCCAGGCCTTCTGTGCCACATGTGTACCGTGTCAAACCTGAAAAGGGCTTTACAGTGTGGCTACTGTGGCCAAGTTAGACAGGCCAAATTCATACACAAGCAGTAAAATAACTTGAAAATAACAACACCTACAGTATTAGGATGTGAATAGATCTTGAGCGTCAGTCTGGAAGTAAATCCAGTGTTGTACTGACCCTCATTGAGAAAGCACTCCAATGTGAAATGAGTAACGTTAGCGCATAACATGCAGTGTTTTAGGGAAATGTTCAGGAACGTTTCCACAATAAAATACAGTATATCCACTGTGTCTTCACTGGCTTTGAGGATGGAAGTAGGTAGAGACCTTTGTGTTTGTGCAACCAACAAGCCAGCAGAACCTGGGCCTTCCTCTGAGCTGTGCCATGTCGCCGTTTCTCTGCTGTTCTAGTGAGGAAATCACAGTAGCACCAAAACAGATCTGTGTTGGAGGAGGAAATGGATTGCTGCGTCATTCTGAATGATGTCATAAAGAGATACAAATCCAACCAGGGGTTTTTACAAATGCAGAAAAAGCAAAACAGACAGGGACTGCTTTGTTCTCTTGTTTTGTGTCTCTCTACACACCGTGGACCCATGTTAATGTCAGCAAATGCTCTAAAAGTGAATTTTGCATGTCTCTTTTAAGTATAGATCTCTCCAGAGTATTGCTTTGTCTTAGCCTAGTTGGAGAAACATAACCAGGCTCTTCCTGGAATTCCTGAGTATAATGGTGGCAGAGAGAAGAGCTGTTTCACACTACACAGACATGAGATTTAGGGTTGCTATTGTCGCTAAAGAATTTGGGAATTTTATGTGAGTTAAACAAGAATGGTATCAGAACAGGGAGTACCACACAACTCTGTGTGACTGCATTTGTAACAAGCAATAGAATTCATTGATTTACTCAAGCACAGTGGTTTAAACAGTTCTCTCATCTATCTTCAAGTTCTGGATCATTTGTAAAGAAAATGAAAATAATTATTGAGAATAATAGTGAGATGTTTGTGATTTGGCTCCATGCAGTCAGCTTTTGAGTCACCATTGACCTCATGATGATGCAAGACTAGAGAGAGAGATGTTCAGCTCAGATATCCTGAGGTGCTGTGATGTAACTATTAATCTAATCTGACTAATCGTGACTCTCCCTAATAGGGATGGACCCAGCAGTGTGATGAACTGCCTGATACCAGCTGCAAAGGCAAAGTTCAGGGTTCACACATCATATGCATGCTGGATAAACACATCGTGTACACACACGGCTGTGTAATCGGCTTGATCAATGGCAGAGATATCAGTACTGATTAGAGGAACACAGGCGGCCTCAATCTCTCCTGAAGGTGACAAACTGAGGGGAGAAAGAGGGAGGAGATGGAAAGATAGGAGAGAGACAGATGAGCACAATGAGACCCACCTACATTCAGTGAAGAGAATGAGAGGGTAGGACGGTGGGCATGGAGAGAATGAAGAACTGGTGCACGACGGATGTAAAGAGCCAGAAAAAGTGAATATGTTGTTTGTGATGACTCTTAGAACCAAAGGGCCTGTCCCTGTGAGGCAAAGTGTTGTATTACACAGCATTTCACCACTACCTTTGATCAACAGACGGGAACAGCCACAGTCCAGAGGAACACACACGCACACGCACACGCACACACACACACACACACACACACATACATTTAGGCGCACACAAGTTTGAAACCACTGTGAGGTTTTTCAAGCCTGTATGGTTTCAGATTCAAGCTACAGGGAGTCTGTAGTATGTTTGAGTATGTTTGAGTATGTTTAAATGTGACTGTTCATGTTGTGTATCCAGAGCCCAGGACACAGGACTCTCGAGGAGGCCCTGACGATGAAGACGAGGACGATGAAGAGCAAGGTCCAATACACAGCGGCAGAAAGGAGGAAGAGGAAGGGAAGGAAGAGGAGGAGGTGTTACAGTGGAGGGGTCCAGGTCAGTATGCTCAAAGGATTTCCAGTAAACATGACAGGTTTGGTAGGAAGGGAACAGTCAGCTGTAACCCTCTTCTTCACTTACACATCATCTATCTATGCACAGTGTTTACTGGCAACTTACTCAATGATCCAGTGGAATTTTAAAACTCTCTAGTGTCACAGAAAGTACTGATGGTGAAATGATGGAAGAGAGCTTCACATGTCAACATCTAATGGCGAACATAAAAAACCAGTAGACTTACCTTCACTATGCACAAATTAAACTTTTTGAAATTTGTAGGGTGAAGGGACGTCGCAGGTGCTTCAGCTCAGTGTACAGTATTAATGAAGTAATCCAGGATGAGACAGTAGACATTTCCACAGTCTGGCTAATTGTAGTGGTGGCAGCTGTTGCCTACAGTCACATGTTTTGAATGGTGCATTCTTCTGGCTGCCAGCACCATGTCACTTACAGCTATTGTTAGCCAACACAAAAAGAAGCAGATGAGTATGAATTGGAAATGTGATTAAAGTAACAGCTACAGTACTGTACCGGAGTCAGATCCTTGTGTGTCTAAACATACTTGGCCATTAAAGATTCTGATTCTGGTTCTGTTTTCTCTGCTCTCACCACTAGCAACAAGAGCTACTTTCAGTTCACCAGTGAACAGGGCTGCTCACTAAGCCACCCAGACGCCAGTTAATGTGATGTATACCAGTTACTCATTTGGGTTGGAATTAGTTTGGACTCACGGAACTAGTTTTATCTGTCTGTCTGTCTGTCTGTCTATAAAAATTAGCAGGTTAAAAATGTAATGAATGATTATTTTAGTCAGTTTAGTTCGGAGCTCTATGCTTTGTAATTGTTAATATGCTGTATTTCTGTTAGAGATGAACAAACCCTGTCACAAGTCAGAACATTAATATTTGTGCTTATTTCTGATATTAAATGACATTTTTAATTTGTTTATTTGTAAAATATTTGTACATGGAAACTTTGGTATAGCTGAAGTAATGGTTGAGGTTAATCAACTGAAAGGCTTCCTTAAACACGGAAGATTGTTAGGGGATGAAAACACATGATCTCTGTCCAGGACGTGGTACCCGTGAATTTGCAGGCTACATGCGACCATGTAGCAGGTGCTTTTGTTCAGACATACAGCTGCTGTGCACAAAATTCCCAGCGAGGCTTTATTCAAGTGTAGCAGGACCTAGCCATGCACAGCCATGGTTCATGTGATATTCAGGACACAAAGCAATGCCAGAAGTTACACATAATTTACAAGATGAAAGGTTGTCTGTCTGTAGCAACATGGCATTTGGCTATTAAATGTAGGGATGTAAGAATATTTGTAATGTTGTGATATTGCAATAGAAAACTGCCTCAGTACATCGTGGGACTGAGCCGGTATCTACCAGGATATTGCTCATGCTTATTTCACTAGTATAATTGTATTCAGGTTCCAGAATCTGAAGCTAACATAGCAAATGTTCATTTGCCTTTTTTTTTTACAGCTGTTGTGTGGCAGCTTTCAGTTTTCATCTCATTCAAGAAATGACATGGCAGAAAGGAAACCGAGAAATGCTAAACAATTTGCAAATACTGCTGGACGAAGGCAATATACTGTAGTCTCATTTAGGACTGAGACAACCCTGGATACGTCATGCAGAAACTGTTGGGACACAACTGTGCACAACACTTTAAGAGAAATGGTCTAACAAACAGGAGGCATATATGTAAAATCACCAGTTAGTAACTTTAAAGGTAAGGCTGGTGATTCATTTCAGGAGCATTTTTTGTTACATGGCTTGAAATCCTCTTTTTCTTCTGATGGCAATGAATAACTTAAATGCATTGACAATATAAAGAAACAAATCATCTGTAGCAGCAGGGCTGAAAAAAAGCCTGACCAATAATTTCATTTGGCACAAGAAAAAACATTGGCTGGCCTACCTGCCTGTCAGCCTAAATTTCTACTAGTGTGCACCCTGTCCTTGCACCAGCAAAGAATCTCCCACAAGGCTAGGCAGGCAGACGTATTACCACTCTGTGACAGAGAAGGGCCCCACGGCAGTTTACAGTGCCTTGCGAAAGTATTCGGCCCTCTTGAACTTTGCGACCTTTTGCCACATTTCAGGCTTCAAACATAAAGATATAAAACTGTAATCATGCAGAACAAGGAACACACCAGGCAGGTCCGAGATACTGTTGTGGAGAAGTTTAAAGCCGGATTTGGATACAAAAAGATTTCCCAAGCTTTAAACATCCCAAGGAGCACTGTGCAAGTGATAATATTGAAATGGAAGGAGTATCAGACCACTGCAAATCTACCAAGACCTGGCCGTCCCTCTAAACTTTCAGCTCATACAAGGAGAAGACTGATCAGAGATGCAGCCAAGAGGCCCATGATCACTCTGGATGAACTGCAGAGATCTACAGCTGAGGTGGGAGACTCTGTCCATAGGACAACAATCAGTCGTATACTGCACAAATCTGGCCTTTATGGAAGAGTGGCAAGAAGAAAGCCATTTCTTAAAGATATCCATAAAAAGTGTCGTTTAAAGTTTGCCACAAGCCACCTGGGAGACACACCAAACATGTGGAAGAAGGTGCTCTGGTCAGATGAAACCAAAATCGAACTTTTTGGCAACAATGCAAAACGTTATGTTTGGCGTAAAAGCAACACAGCTCATCACCCTGAACACACCATCCCCACTGTCAAACATGGTGGTGGCAGCATCCTGGTTTGGGCCTGCTTTTCTTCAGCAGGGACAGGGAAGATGGTTAAACTTGATGGGAAGATGGATGGAGCCAAATACAGGACCATTCTGGAAGGAAACCTGATGGAGTCTGCAAAAGACCTGAGACTGGGACGGAGATTTGTCTTCCAACAAGGCAATGATCCAAAACATAAAGCAAAATCTACAATGGAATGGTTCACAAATAAACATATCCAGGTGTTAGAATGGCCAAGTCAAAGTCCAGACCTGAATCCAATCGAGAATCTGTGGAAAGAACTGAAAACTGCTGTTCACAAATGCTCTCCATCCAACCTCACTGAGCTCGAGCTGTTTTGCAAGGCGGAATGGGCAAAAATTTCAGTCTCTCGATGTGCAAAACTGATAGAGACATACCCCAAGTGACTTACAGCTGTAATCGCAGCAAAAGGTGGTGCTACCAAGTATTAACTTAAGGGGGCTGAATAATTTTGCACGCCCAATTTTTCAGTTTTTTATTTGTTGAAAAAGTTTGAAATATCCAATAAATTTCATTCCACTTCATGATTGTGTCCCACTTGTTGTTGATTCTTCACAAAAAATTACAGTTTTATATCTTTATGTTTGAAGCCTGAAATGTGGCAAAAGGTCGCAAAGTTCAAGGGGGCCGAATACTTTCGCAAGGCACTGTACATTCACAAACGGAGACCGTTGTCACAGGCCAGGCCTTCCCCTTTATGACATATAGCCTTGTAGGTAGTGCTGTTGTTGTTCCCAGAAGTTGCTACTTGCATGCAGTGTGACAGCGAGAAGACCACCACACAGAACACACTCCTTTTACATGCAGCCACATGTGCGGAAAATACCAACAGCTCTAAGTGTATAGACAGGATTGTAATGCAGTTAACTGGGCATCAAAGGCCACATGTAGTGTTTGTGTTACCAAGACGGAATAAAGCTTGTGTTTTGAATGGAGTTAGCCGGCCTCCCTCTTCACTTCATCCCGCTGGAAAAGCCCCGACTTCTAAAGCTAGTTACCGGCTACAAGGCAGGGCTAAAGCAGTTTAGCCATGAACCAGAGGTCCCCAACTTTGGCTCGGGGTGACAGATCTGGACAGGTAGCACCATATTCAAGAACGTTACAATTAAACAGAAGTTGGATGCTGCAAGAAGCAAAACCAGAATTAACATTGGTGTGGGAGCTGAGGGAACAAAAGGGGTTTGAAAAGTGGTGTCATGGTGGTGTGTATTTCTGCTGGACAGGGTATTATTGGTTTGGTTTTGTTTGGGGGGGCATTTGTTATTTTCATGAAATCTTTAAGTAGCAGTCAGGCAGTGCACATTGCAGTGTCCGTTGTGTTCTGGAGGAGAGGCTTTGGAGAGAAGTCACAACAAAAGAGTGGGATTTCTTTGGTTGACAACAGTCCTGGATACATTTGGCAAAAACAGATGGGACACAACTGTATGCAACACTTTAATGGAGATGGGCAAACAAACCAGATGCACATAATCAAAGCCAAGTCTTAACTCTGAAAAGTTAAATGTGATGGGGCACAGACTTCAGTCTCTGGTTTTTAACCTGCTACACCACCCCAGCCTATAAGTGACTAAACAGCACTTACTGTTAGCTTCACAGTAGATGTGCTGTTAATGAGATGCACGAAAATCCACTATAACTGTAGTTACTACGATACGCTCAGTTCAGCTGTTACTATGATCGTAAGTGGTTCTAACCAGCCATACACTGCATGGCTGTGTCTGTGTGTTCATGTGTGTCTCTTGGGGACGTTCTTGTGCTGTCCACTGTGTTCTGCTGTTCCCCTGTAGGAGATTTGAATGTGACAGACTCTAGGAAAATTTATTCAAGTTGTAACAAACACACACGGCTAAGAGGAGATAACAAGTAAATCGCCATAATTTTATTATTTATTTCCTCTCTTATCGAGGTTTGTTTAGTTATTTATTTTTCTCTGTCTGTTGTCTTCAATGAGTTAAACAATGCAAGAAGATTACCGTCCTATCTGGCATTATTTCCTTTTCAAGCTGTGCACGTTTTATGTATGTTTGTGCATGTGTCTATACAATGTTGAGTGTGTCTGTGTTTACGAGTGTTGTGTATGTCTGTGTGTGCACGTGTATGTGGGGATGAGAGGATATGTTCATTATCGTCCTGTCCCAGCCTCGTCCCTTTAACAGTAATTGGAGCGATATTAATTGCTCCGCGGTGGCTAGTTGATGGTAGCACCATGATGCTGCACTGATAGGGCCCTTCATTTTTTTTCCTTCCTCTGCTCCTCACAA